ATCCTTACCAATACACCGAGTGTCACATAAAAGATTGATAGATACCTTCACCCGTTTCCACTCCAATAGAAAACTCTTCAAAATTTATTTTCAATGGTGTTCAGTTCCATTGGCATAGAGTTATTGTCGTAAATACTTCGAAGAATCAATGATAAGTTTTAGTGACTGAATTTGAAAACAATGATGAGGCAGTTTTTCATACTATTCTTTCTTCTACTTAGAAAACTTACCAACTCACTTATGTAAATTAGTGATGAAATTTGAATGAAACGGATTCCGTAGGAAATTCCAGATGATAATTTTCGGATACTAGAAATGTATAGAATAGTCCAAAATATCAAAGAGTATTCTACAACATTCCAGGAATGCTCAAAAATAGTCTGGAACGTACAGTAACATCCTAGAACATCCCAAGGTCATTGTGGAACGTTCCAGGACGGTCTCGAATACTGTGAGGAGTTCTAGAACGTTGTTGACCATTCGAAACTTTTTTGTATGTGTTTTGTATGGACTAACCAATGGTAGGAATATATAAAGCAAGATCCGTCGGCCTTTTATATTATGAAGTTCATCCCTCCATTCCAACTACCACACAATTTCTTATCAATTTTTTGGGAAGATCCAATTGCACCTTTTTTATCATGCCTGTCTCTTGAAATCATTTTGTCGAGCAATAGTTTTAATTTTTCGATAACTCCTGAGGTATTAATTTGAATAGCATGTTATAATTATAATGTGAATAATATACTTACGTTAACTAAAATATTTGATTTGATAAGGATTGAAATGTAGCTATCAATAGAAAAAAAACAATATCTACTGAATTGTTTGTTATACTTCTATCTAACAGGCATTAGCCAACGTTGAAAGCAACACAATCCTGACTTATCACGAATAACTTCGTCACATTTCAACTAATTCATACAAAATATAAATGAATTATACAAATTATTCTTCTCCTTCAATCATTTTTTCCATTGGTAAAAACTTTATGAAAATCCATTTGGTTGTTTTTGAGTTTATCTCGTTCAAACGGACAGACACGAATTGAAATTTTAATTTGTGATTAGTTGCAATAAAAGAACTCCCCGGAACCAATCTTCATTATCACATTGGTATTCAAATTTTGAGACATTCTGTAATGCATTCCATTTACGTGAATTGATTTGATGAAGAACATTTGCCTCACTGGAAAGTTCGTTTATTGTAACTGAGAAGGCACTTGAGACTATTCAGTAAGTGTAAAACAAACAAAGAGAAGGAGAAACTATTGTTTCACTAAACTGGGAAGTCATTTGAAGTTATTCCAGCTTTGGGCTGTGAATGCATTTTGTGTACGCTTGGATTTGACTAATGGCAATAGAAAACCCTGAATAGTCGATATAGTTAGATTGTTCTGAATGGATAACTCAGGTTTACGTGTATTCTAGCACAAGTGACAATGATTTAACTATTTCACTATTTAACTGAAGTATCAACCCTACTGGTAGTTACTGTTTTAAATGTATTTTGCTATGTCGAATATAGGAATAGATTTATTATCATTTGCTGTTATTCATTATTTACTGTGCTTCAATGATAATATATTATTTCTGTATTTCTCTGTAATTGATCAATAACTGTAGATGCATAGTACCAGGTGGCTCAATAAAAAACAAATCATTTTTGGAGTTCTCAACGATATATTCAGATAGTTCGCTTGAGCAGATCAGTTTTATGCCGATTGGGCATTCAGTATGCAAAATTTCAAACATATCACCTCCACTTCCTGAATTATCATATATCATCAGGAGTTGAATTATATTTCATTTCATAGCTCTTCAGTTTCCGTTCTGGTGCTAGATGGCTCTTGAAATTTCGACAATTATTGTCGAAAATACTACTATTTCACTCGTTTGACTCTAGTACCCTGGTACTCTAGGGTAAAAAAAAAATGCAAGTATTTGTAAGTTTGGAGGATTGCTATCTGCCTTTTCTCTGTTGCCACGAAAGGCCAAATTATACGTTGAGAACGTTGAAATATCAAGGAGTCTAGACAGTACCTACCGTCAAAAAGATGTTTCTCTCTTGATCGTGGACTCTTGCTCTTCACCTAGTGTTCCAGATAACCGCCATTGTTGATACGTTAGACAAGAATTCAGGTGAATTTTTGATGTCTCGTCTCTTTCTATGGCGTCTACAATATGTTCTCAGTCGTCACAACCTTCCATTCAAACATTCTTTTAAGAACGGACCCTTAGGTGCACAACGTCCTTTTTTGATCACGAACCGTTTCACTTGATCATTTAATCTTTGAAATTATTCTCATCAGTAAGGAATATGATAAGATATTCACACCAAAATATGATTCACTTTGATTTGTACTAGTACCTTGTTGTGGTTTTTCTGGATATACATATTGACGTTGGGTGCTGCATCTACCATTCTGTTACCTTTAGTAAAGTCTAATTCTTCATTTTCAGAGCACTGTACACTTGTTTTTACATCAATTAACTCATCAATCTTAAAGTACTGACAAATTTAAGGTAACTGTTTTATTTTTTTCTTCAGACTTCCTTTTTCTCTTTCGTTTTTCGCTCCCACTCAGATATTTTCTAGAACTAGACATGTTGATATCTAACTTTCACAATCAACTTCACTTTACCTTTATTTGCAGGTTCAATAAAAATAAAACTACAAAAAGTAAAAGACACAAATGATCCATTGTTACAACAATCAAACGAAAAATGCGTAGTGCATTTGGTCTTTGGTTGTGTCTACCTTCAATTGATTTTTTGCTAAATTTTATTAAAAATGTTAGATCACTTTTCGCAGCTCCACTGCTCGGGACTCGATGAAGTCGACCAAGGCCGTTTTTACCTGGTCCTGGTTAGCGAAGAATCTACCGATGAGAAAGTTATCGAAGTTTTTGAAAAGATGGTAGTCGGTTGACGAGAGGTCTGGGGAGTATGGGTGAGTGAGAGAGAACTTCGACGTTCAATTCTTTCACTTTTAAGACGGTGATTTGTTTAACGTGTCAACGGGTGTTGTGAAGTAGGATAGGATCTCTTCTGTTGACCAATGTCGGCTGACGAAATTTTCGGTACATTTCGTCGATTTCCTCACAATAGCACTGACTCTGCTGTTATGGTTTGGCCCGGTTGCAGACAATTATAGTGAATCACATCAGCCGCTGACCACACCATAAAGTAACCATGGTTGAAAGTGAGGTACCACATGAGTTGTCAACCTCTAACGCTGGGCAGTCACATTGCCTCTTATGGAAAACAACCTAGACACATTTCCGTGATCAATCGCCCCCCACACCATTGAGCTTGTCGCCAACTTGTACAGCACAGCACGACCTTTCCCGTCAAAATACGGATAGGATTGGAGCAATGAAAATGAATGGACAACCGCCCACTAATTCCGTACGGCACAGCCAAGAGCGTCCGCCGCCGGAAAGGATTCCAGCTCTCCGATCCTATGAAAATAGACGAGGAAAAATTGAGGTGCTTATTGAGGCAGACTCTACAATATCCAGAAGTTCTGAAAATTCGCCTGGAGTCATTCGGAAATACTGGGAAAATGTCTCCTCGTCTTCTTTTAGGTCATAGAAAAGATGATGAAACTCTCCCAGATTTGTCCTCTTTTGATTAATGGGATGGACCCACAACATTTTCTTTGTGACTATTTTCTTCTACATTCAAAAATGCGACCACTATAATGACGACTTCTTCGTCAGAACTGTTAGTGATAGACATGTTTCTGTCCCCGCTCGATGTCAACTGAAATTCCCTTGAAATCGAACACGCAACACCTTCAGTATGCTGGTTGTAGCTGGACAAGTGGGCGATGCTACTTACCCGGCGCCATAAGGTGACGGACAGCGCCGTGCTGTGTCGTGACAAGTGATGAGCGACAAGCTTTATTCAATAGTATGGTGTCTCTCCACAGAACACAGTATCAAATCTTTCACCCCGTCGCCTTCTTACTGTTATACATCAAATGGAACAACTTATATCACACTCACCATTGCCTGACTATCATGCATTCCCCAAGCAGTATATTCAAACCAATGGGCCTCCCCCATGTTATTTAAATTATTGTAGACGATTCGGTATTTGAAAGCTAGAAGTCGAAGTCAGTGATCTTCGCTTTCTGTGATTCTGCAGCGACATCCTGTGTCTCTTGTTCTTTTTTTTATTTAGAAAAAACCGCATCAGCCGTAGCTATTAGCGGCAAACATATAAAATATATCTAAAATATGCAGTTGTTTACATTACAGTTTGAATAAAATGTTACATTCTTTAAGAAATTCAATAATATTGTTCGTATTGGTATTTTGGAAAATTTCACTCAGGTCGGAGATAATTTTATTGTTCAGTCTCTCAACTATGAAGAACGGGCACTCTACCAGAACATGCTTAACAGTCACAAGCACTTCACACGCGAAACATTTTGGTGGCGGTTCTTTCCTCAGTAGATGTTACGTTGTTCTTGATGTTCGACCTTCTTGAAACCATGCTTGACAAGCATTCCCCAGAATAATCAGAAATCTATTCATCCTGTGAAAGACAAATCGGCTTTCCTCAAATCACAATTCGTCCTCTATCAAACTCTCTCGGTTGGAAAATTGGGCGTCTTTTCGCTATATGTATAATGAACACTTCCGAAAGATTTTCTCACAGAAACTCTTGCAGAACCTAGTTTTTTGTCATATAAAACGATATTTTCAACAATTGTAATTATTTCACAAGCAGAGGGTTATGAAAGAAAATAATGTATCGAGATTACACAAAAACTTATTCAGTCATCTTGCCATAAAAACATGACTCGAATGATTAAAATATCCCAGCTATCACTGGGTATTTCCATTTCAATGTCGCATATTTCAGAATATGAATGATATTTTGAGTTATTTTGTTTTGAAACTTTGATGTTAATTCAAATTGTTATTTTGATAAATTCAGGTATTTGAATGCAACACATGCAACTGACAAACTACATCTTTGTTCCAGGATTTCCTCAATATTTTATCAAAGGTATCTCGTGGTAGTGTGGACGAGAAACTACAATGGGTGTTCAACCTTTACGACCTAAACGGAGATGGCCTCATAACAAAATCAGAGATGGAAGACGTAGTTTCAAGTATATACGAAATGCTTGGTAGAGCAACTCAGCCAGTTGTGGAGGAATCTTCAGCAAAGGAACACGTAGAAAAGATATTCAATGTGAGTGTATTATTCGACAGTGTAATAGTGGAATAAACGTATTTTCACACCTTACATGTTCGTAAACTTTACAAGTTTGGCGTATTGTACAGATCAAACGTGTCAAACTTCTGCTGGAATTCATTCCGATGAGTCGCCAACAAACTTTCAAATCAATTTTTTGACTGAGTTGAGCTCTTTAGTTCCTTTCGATTTTTTACCATTTCTTCCAAATCTCTGGAGTACTCTGCATCCTCCTGGGTTTATTATTTCTCCTTCCCTCTTTTTATGGCAACCATTCCAGCAATCTTGTTCCCTGTACTAGTTTGTGTAGGTTCTGTATAAACTAGTACAGGTAAAAGCGTCACTATCTATGAAAGTTCATTTTCAGTATCTCAAAGTTTGTATGTAACTCTAATAATGTACATTTGCTGTATTTTTTATATACTTGTGATGCACTGTTTGGAACCTTTGGTTCAGTAATGACTATTACTGGAGTTTTTTCCTAACACCAAACCGTTATTTCAACACCTCGACACGTGTTTCGATCACCAAGTGATCATCTTCAAGAGGAAGATCAAACTTATCAAACTGGAGTTTTCTCCCAACACCAAACCGTTATTTTAACACCTCGTCACGTGTTTCAAGTACCAAGTGATCATCTTCAAGAGGAAGATCAAACTGATCTTTCTCTTGAAGATGGTGTTGCGAAAAAATCACATCACACTAACACTAATTCAATACTTTTCAAGACTCAAAATCCAACTGGAAAGTATTGTGAAAAATCAAAGATGATCGCCTTTAACGTGACACCTAATATACCGACGGTTCCCTATTGATTTTGATGATAATTGAAAGTGGAAATTTTTACAGATGATCGACACCAATAAAGATGGCGCCATCACAATAGACGAGTTAATTCAGTGGTGTTCCCGTGATGAGACCTACCTAAAATCGTTAGAAACTTTAGATACGGTATTGTGATTTTGTATCGACTTTCCCTATTATCAATTAAGTTATTAATAACTATTCAAGTTAAACTGACATATGTGTTTATTTGTACGAATATTCCAAAGAGTATGAACCCAATAATGTTAAGTGTTACATTTTCTTCAATGTCCTTTGAAATTTGAGTGCTACACCTATATTAGCTGAAGAGTTTTGTGTGGTTTCAAGAAAATGAATTCGATTCACTACCTGTTCAGAGAGGCTTATGGAGTATTCATGAATGAATATCGGGAATCTATCAATTATAATGATAGGAGAAAAGTATTGCAACTTCGACTGAATTATTTTTTGGAGAGAAATTCTGGACTTGACTGACGATCCTCTCAGAACAGGTGGTGAGTTAGGATGAACTGTCTTGTACTAAACAATTCAAGAAGGATTTTAGAGCAACAGTCCAGAGAGATAGATCTAACAATTCTCACTTGCATTTTTCAATTTTAAACAGAAAAGATGAAGGAATAGACACTGAAAACAAGGAAAAAGATTCCCCAAAAGGTTTTGATGAATATATTAGTACATCAGATGAAAATTATACCGAATGTAAATTTTTCTCGAAAGTTACAACCCTACAACCGTAATTAAATCAAAAATAATAATTTTGATTCAAATTTACTACAATTGGAAGTTAGGCAACGTTGCTACAGCAAAATTGAGAGCTTCAAAAGGTAAAATAGAAAACTTATGATAGCTGTCCGAAAGTTCATTTCATGAGACAAAATTTTCTACAACTATGTTCAAGTCATAAATTATAGCCATGAGAAAAAAATTTATTAGGATTAAATCTGGTGACCCAGTATGTCAATACAAAAAAATCGAAATTTGTATAAGATAAGGATGAATGAGGTCTCACCTTTCAACATACGATCCCTAGCATGGGTCAGACGATACGCAGTGAATATCAAAAATTCAACAGTTAGAATTGAACCAACGTTCACATAGCTTTAGATTGAATGAGAAGAGAGAACAACTCACGCTAACTTATTTTATCATTCGAACAATTCTATGTAATAGTGGGATTGTTGAAAATTATGTGATATAGATGAAAACTTTCGGATGAAAGTTTCAATGTTAAGCTTTCAATTAAGAATCTAAAAAATATTCATAGTTTCTAGGTAGTTTTGACAACTGGTCGAAACCCTAAGCTTTTGTAATAATACAGATAGGTAATAATAATAGATTAAGAAGAGTTTTTGCATTTCTGAAATGTCTTGTATTTCTTATAATGAAACCCAATAAACGATTACACATATTAACGGTCTTCTCAATGTAGGATTTAAAAATCATTTTGGAATCAATTATCACTCTCAAATCACATACTTCATTAACTGTTTTCATTGTGTGATTACCTATTTGATATTGAAAATCAATGGGATTTCTATATGTGGTGAAAGTTATTTTGTGAAATTTATCGAGATTTAAGTATAGGCTACTATTGCCACAGATTTCTGCAAAAAGTTGGAATGTTGAAATACTTCAACAATATTGTTAATATAAATTATAAGAAGTAATGGTCCCAAGTGACTCCCCTGTGGTACACCTGATGTACTCCAAAAGGTTCTGACTGGTAATCGTTGTATGACGATACTCAAAAAGTCAATTATTTGATAGAAAAAATGTATAGTTCTTTGTTTTGGCAGTCCTAAGACCAATTTCAAAACAAAAGCTATAACTCTCAAAAAAATTAGTTCATATAGATAAATTGATTTTATTAAATTGTATTCATTGTTTCATAACGATCTTTTGATTAATTAAAATAACTGTAGTAGTAGAATTATACCTCGATGGAACTTTTTAAACTGAATCATAACTGAATCAAGTTTTGATTATTGATTCGAAATGGTGGGACGGTAGCCTAGTGGGTTGACGTGGATGGTTTGCTCCACTCATTCAATCGACTGCTGTGTGAACTGTTGGTTCGAACTGCAAGGCCGAACGCTGGATTTTCACTTGCTACCGTCCAACCCGTGTTAGGAATCACACGTTGAAATGTAAGACCTCATTAGTCCTCAGCTCGTACAAGTTTCGACTTATGAGAGTTGTCGTTCGTGGGGGGCGACAGATGGGTAACAAAAAACCAGATTTTAAACAGATTCTAAACAGATTTTTAAACAGATAGGGAATTTATTTTGATTTTCTCACAGTTTCGAATCATTTTTTCGAATGAAATGACCAACTTTTTTGATTTCTTCACCAGTACTTTCAGGAGTCACTTCCAGCTAATAATAACCAAGGAACTCTGATTATTTTTTCATTCTCATTAAAAAACTAATCAATACAGTTTATTTTATGAGTTTCACTATAAAAGAGTTTTACGAAAACCGCGACACGTGTTTCGCTATACAATAGCTTCCTCAAGCATAGTTTATGCTTGTCGCGGTTTTTGTAAAACCCTTTTATAGTGAAAATCATACAATAAACTGTATTGATTAGTTTTTAAATTGGATTTTCATCAAGTATTGGCCAGTTCTATTCAATTCTTATTGAAGTTGGGAATTCAACTTGAACGTGATTTATTCATTTGTGATGCACTGTTTTGAACCTTTGGTGTAGTAATGAATATTACTGAAGATTTATCCCAACACCAAACCGTATTTTAACACCTCGACACGTGTTTCGATCACCAAGTGAGTATCTTCAAGAGGAAGATCAAACTAAAACTGTTTAGTTTGTTCTTCCACTTGAATATGATCACTTGGTCATCGAAACACGTGTCGAGGTGTTGAAACAAATGTTTGGTGTTGGGAAAAAAGTCCAGTAATATTAATTATTCACATTTAACTATAAATGTTGTAACCTGCAATGGTTAGGAAGCTCATTGAAAAAATCATAAAAATCATGTTATCAAAAAAATGCATTTCAATTGATTTCAGTTCAAATCGACATAACATCTTTCAAAAACATGTTCTAAGTCCAAGCAATGGCCTTTGACTAAGAGATAAAAGGATGAGCAAAGTGAAACCTCTATTAGATGGATATATACTTATATAATCTATAATATTGCAGAATAGTATAGCATGGGTAAAAAAATTATTTTGAAATTCAAAAGCAGGATACACTAATATTTGTTAGGGGTCAATCTGTTTAAAATCTGTTTCAGATTTTAATAAAATATATATTGAAGTGAAGTGTCTTACGACATTTTTTCCATTTCCTAATTTGAATATTTGAAATAAATAAGAAAGTCTGGATAGAACAGCATTCCGAAACTCAAAACAAATTATTTTAAAAATCATTAGAAGGAAATAAAAAACTCTCACATCATCTGATTATCAAATTCAAGTTCTCTTGTTCCTTCAGTTGAATTTCTTCAATGATCATATGACAAATATTGGATGCAAGTAGGGACTGTGTGACAAAATGAAGTTCTGAGGTGAACTCAAGCTTCAATTTAATTCCTTGTTTTCTATCTCTACTACGCAGTGTGTTATAAATATAAAAATCCCATCACTTCCCTGCAGTATTAGTAGAATTTAAATGAATTATTTAGTGAGTAAGTTATTATTCGCATTTGTTTTCTAAGTTATACTCGACAAGAATAAGAAGAGCCGCGAGATGCGTAAAAAACAAACAGGAGGATACACCAATATTAGTCTGGCCCCTTGTCGTTTCGGCTTTTCCAAACTGAGGTTCTATTTAAACATTTATGAAACTCAGCTATGCCACCGTGAATTTGATGCTCTTCTTAAACCTGTCAAGTTGTAACGGTAATGTAACCACAGTTTTCAACAATAAAATGTCTTCACGCGATCGAACCGAATAATTTTGTATTTACAAATCCTATGTGAATGCCATTGAAAAGAACTGTGCCTAAGACTTTTCTTATTGTTGGCAAGTTTTATCGTTCTAGTTCATTTGCGATTTCATCATTTACGTGGAGAGAATTTTATCTGTGGAATTAATATACATTGAGATTTATAAATTTCGAAACGGTATTATAGAACACGTCAGAAAATCGTTAACATCTTCAACAATTATTTATTCCCAATTTATCCCAATTCAGCCTAAGTTTAATGCAATAAATTGAAGCAAAAATTTAGTTACACTTGAAAAATAGAGTTTATTTTGAAATAACTTTCAGAGGTACAGGTTTTACGTTTATTGTGTGCATTTCAAATTCGCTCAACTGTAATTGTCGAAAACTAGAGTAGATTTGAAACAAAATATTTTTTGATATCAATTTTACTCAAAGAATTCATAAAATGAAAAATTCCAAAAAAATAGAATGAGTCGTCATAACTCTTCTCTTTGAGAGTTTCCATTGATATTTTTTAATGTTTTCAACTTCAATTGACTGTTTGCACATTCTATTTACTAATAGAGCAGTAGAAAAGATTGTCATCTGAACAATTTGTTTGTGAAATAATACTTACTGGAAATATATCGACATAATATCATTCAGTGTATGTTTGGTAAAATAATATGAAATTGATTTGATACGGAGATACTGAGAATCAAGGATCCTAATTCGTATTTGAAATTGAAGTATATTTCATATTTTCCTATCAACCAATGTCCATATTTCCATATACTGTATATTTTTGGTGTCTTTTTTTATGTGTAATCGTGTTATCCAGATTTAGCTACAACATCGCTGCGTACTAAGCGAACACATTCAAATAATTCTATGAAATGATAAAAGTCGCAATAATTTCTTACAATCTCATCATATCAGTTTTGAATAGTGTTAAATATCATTCTCTGCAGCCAAAAAATAAGTTCTGAACAAATAAAAAGTAGATTAATCACGAACTATGATACTTTACAAGAATATACTGTATTTTGTGTCACAAACACACCATATATAGTTTCATTGCGATCATACAAAATGAGATTCAACATTATTGAGAAGTGAAATGATTGGCATACTTTGAGATGATCAGTATTTAACTGTCAATATTCACTGATAACACCGGTACTATTAGAAAATTACTAGAAGAAAGCATACTAAAAACATACAATTTATCTGCCTACTTGCTTTTCAAAGTTGTTTTTCCGAAACATTTCTTCATTATCTGACAACATTATGAAAAATGGACATCTTGTATGCTTCTTATATGTCAGAGACATTCCCAAAAACATATTGTATCGAATTGTCTACTTATCATGCGACACTTGTTTTCTTGGAATAAGTCTGACTTGCCCAATTCTTGCAAATCTCTGGGCGTATTACGTTTTCTGCCATATTTTCTTCTGCGATCTAATGACTCACATTTGCATAGGCATGAAAAGTAGTTTTGCCTATATCTTGCTGGCTAAATCTGTTTTAATGTGTTTAAAATCTGTTTTTCCGTTAACCAGCCAGGTCGGTAGCCAGGCTTCCCAGTATTTTTTCTTTGACTTTGGTTACTTCGCACTGCTTCCACGGTCCAGAAGTTGCTGATCCGCGTCAAAACACATTCGTCAAGTCGTCTAAATATTGTGACACCATTGGTTTAATTCATAATTTTTATTTTTTTTTTTCCCCGTAGAACTTTTTCAAAAAGCCAGTTTTTATTAAGATACGGCAACTGTCATTTGTGACATAATTAGTTCAAATCATAATTTTTATTTTTTTTTTACCCCGTAGAACTTTTTCAAAAAGCCAGTTTTTATTAAGATACGGCAAAAGTTTCTAGTAACAATATG